CCTATTCCTTCAGCAGACTAATTCCACATCCTTGGTGACTATGTGGTTGCCCTCGGGAAGCGAATGAGCCTTGGAGCTCTCTGGACCCCAGAAGGTGGCACTGATGTGTCCTTGTGTTTGGAGAATTACGAGTGGCACAGACCAGGCCTTGCTGTGACCATCTGCAAGAATTCCATTCCCAGTGTTGCTCGGACTCTGTGTCATGTTCACGAGAAAACTCACAGCTGAGCCACGGCCACTGACCCTACGCCTGTCCGCGCCTGACCATTGACCCTACGCCTGTCCGCGCCTGACCACTGCCCCTACGCCTGTCCGCGCCTGACCGCTGACCCTACACCTGTCCGCACCTAGCCTTGATGAAGATCCCAGGCATGCGATCCTGGTGGACACCGGCTGTCAGGAGCCCCGAGCCACCAGCCCAGGCATCTGTCACCCTGGCCCAAATGCAGCCACAGGGCTGGCCTAACATGTGAAACCCTCGGAGTGAAGCTGAGGGTGTGCACACCCCAGGTGATGGGACCTCCCAATCCCCCCCAAAAGGGGGTAATCCAACTACGGCTTTAATTAAACACCCAAAACACCCACTGCCTTCTCACTAAGAGATATGTCTCCACTAACATTTCCCTTTCTCCATTTCTAAAAGTTTGCAATATTAATAGTTTTTGATCAACTGTGCCCCAGCAGTAACCATACAGCTTTATTCAACCCAGGAGTGATTTTTTTTTAAAAACACTTAGCAACTTGATGTCGCAGGAAATTTTATAAAAGTCAATTTATGTATATTATTCTTGCAAAGACGTATGCTAAATTAATTAATAAAAGACCATGAGCATAAAAGTCTATTACATTAGGATAACGCTCTTTGGGCAAAGTGGCTCACTATGTCTTTGTCAGTGGAAAGTGAGCGGCACGGTGGGTGACGGCCCAGTGGAGGGGTCAAGAGTTAGGCAGCGGTTACTTTTTAAATATCGGTATTTGCCTCACAGAGGCGGTACTCCATCCTTTGCAAATATTTAAACCTCTGAAGAAAAATTTTACATGTTGACTTAAAAATGCGTGAGAAGGCTAGTCAATGATTAACGGCAGAGCCAGTGAGTGGGAAAAAAAGAAGTCCACTATGCAATTCTTTCAGCTTTGCTCGTTATTTAAATTTTTCATGAGAAAATGTTGCAGGGAATGTGTGAGAGAATAGAGTTTTTAAAAAATAACACTTTTAAAGAGAGAAAACATGTTTCTGGAAGAGACCTGCCCCACCCAGCAGGGCTCGGGAAGCCTCCCGGGAGCCTCCCAACTGAAGCCTTTTTAAATCAAGTAACCCAGGACTTTCTCCAACTGTTCTTCCTCTTGAACTTGAGTCTCTCTCGACGTGTGCTCCCAGGGCTCATCAGGCAGGACTTCTCTGGAGAACCCCAGTTCTCTATTTCCTGCCACATCAGATTGTCCAGGTTGAAGGTGAGCCCAGAGCCCCCGATCCCCTGCAGCCGCCACTCAGAATCTGCAGCCTCAGATTAGGAGTTTGTGGCCTAATTCAGCCAGCACAAGCCCCTGGCTGAGCTACCCCCAGAGTAGCTGCCACACCCAGCAAGGACCTCTGCACTGACATCTGGCAGCCAATCGGGGGAGCCAGCGGGGACTTCTGGCAAACTGCTGATGGCCCAGCGGGCTTTTAAGAGCTTAATCTCCCAGGAAGTGACCTGTGCTGCTGCCAACCTCTCCCCGGGTCACATACATCCAGAGTGACCCAGGCAGCTGTCTCCACGCCCAGGTTGTGGGTCTTGAGTGTGGGCACATCTCCCCCCACCCTGGGAAGACTAGAAACCCCTTGAATGGAAAGAAAGCATCATCTTCCCCAAAGAGGGCCGTCAGTCTTAGCACTAGAGCAATGGAATGGAACGCTTCCTGGATGGTGCTTTCAACAACAGCAAGAGCAAAATGCTGATCACAGGAGGAGCTCGCCAGAAAGGTGAGTTTTCACTCGCTGCAGGTCTGTCCCACACCACCAGCACAGGAAGGCTATTTTCTGACTGCCACCTGGCTGCTCTTTCCAGCTAGGGGATACGCCTTTAGCCATGGGAAGTGTGGGGATGGAGGTCTGCCCCCATGCTGCCTGGGGTACAATCCCAGCCCCTCTGGCTGGGTGTCCTACGGCAAGTCGCTCTGGTCCTCTAAGCCTCAGACTCCTGATCTGTGAAACGAGAACCAGACCTGATGAGGGCACATACGACAGGGGTGCCTCACCGCTAATGCCAACCACCAGAACGCTTGGAGTGCTGCTGTTACTGCGGGTCCCCTGTTACTATAACTTTTATTATTATAACTATGGAGTGGCTGTATCCTCACCCTTGGAATGAGAAATAGATGATTCTGCCAAGGGCCCATGTTCAGTCCCAGGGGTGTTTAGTCAGGCCACTCAGACCTGTTCCAGGTGTCTGACGCCTCCCGCTCCAACCCCCATCCACCTCCGGGTTGGGGGCCCACTGTGTACCCTATAGGTCTATCACAAACCCTGTGGCACCGTGCATACTGTCCAGTCTCTCCTCTTCCTCCCCACTAGCCTGGACACTCCCTGGGGCAGCCACCTGCAGCAGGTCCAGGCCTGGCAGGCAGCACCAGGCCAGCGGATGCCCATGGAACTCGTTTTTATGCAACATGCGCAGAAAACCAAATACACCCTAGATTACCTTGCACTGTCAGAGAATGGCAGGCCTCTCATTGTGGGTGGGCAGGTTAGGGGCATGGCCAGGTCACAAAGGTCATCTGGCCCAGAGGAGAGCTCTGGGCTTGAAGCCCTTCACTCAACCTGTACTCATCCTTTCAACAAGTAATTCATTCCCCCGGGGCCCAGGTGAAGGGCAGAGAGCTCTAAAGATGAAAAAGACAGGCCTGTATCTGGAACTCCCTCCACATCCCTCCCCAGTCTGTGGAGACAGAGAGGGTCAGAAAATTTGCTGGAGGTCATTTGGATGAAGGAAGATCCTAAATGCTCCCTCCCTGAGCCTTAAGTTGACAAAGTAGGAGGCTGGAATTCCTGACAAAGGAGAGATCAGGAGCTGGGATCCAAACAGCCACACCCCCAAGAGGCATCTCACACTTAAGACCCCACAACCACTCCCAAACTGAGCCCCACTTTGGAAAAATCACCACTACTCCCCCAGGGCCACTAGGGCCACCAGACCTCATTAGATAATTAGAAATAAAACATATGTTGCTAAACAACAGTTGTCCCATAAAAGTCCATTTTTAGGAGTGTTTTCCTGAGTATGGTCAAATCCTGGCATGTTTTTCTTACTTTCACGCTTTTTCTTGTCTTTTTCCTCACCCCTGATGACATATAAAACACGGTGCTGCCTGGGACTCCCCTATGCTCCCGGGGGCAGTATTCCTCACATCCAACCTGGGACCCCCAAAGGTCCCATCTCCTAGATAGCCTCCACCCCCAGGTCTGGACAAGTCACCTGCAAATGGGGCCCTCAGACTCTGGCAGGCGGCCTTACACACAACCCTCAACACCTGCTGAATACGAATGAATGAATGGAAACCTTCAGCAAATGTACCCCAACATGCACAGGGCTTCCTAAAGCAAAGCGCCCATACTTGGAGAAAGTAGGCAGAAAGACACCCCTCCCCCTACGGCGGATTTACTTGGCTAAAAGCAGCCAAGCACAGTCAACAGTGCCCGCTGGGATTGCCTTTACAGGCAAAATGACCTTAGTCATAGAATTCCTTTGATACTTGAATCCCAGCCTCCTTCCATAGGGGTCCAAAGAAGCCCCAAGCTTCCCACCCAATTCTTCCAACTTGGAAAACAAGAAATGCCTCAGCATAATAATGGAATATGCCGCCTTTAGAACAACGCTCCCCAGGAGTTCTCACATTCAAGCACCATTAGCACAACAAATTCCCACTAAGACAAAGGTCTCCCTCCTACCCCTTTTTAAGGACACTGTGACTTCCGGGGTAAAACCCCACACATACCATCCCGCCCTCTTACAGCGTCGACTTTCTCCCCTAAATTAACTCGGATCACCAAGCAGGAGCCTGGCGCCCTCTCGCCTCACTCCCCAGCAGGCAAAGGAGGACTCAACCCTTATCCGAGCTGCGTTAGGCACCCACAAGTGGTTGGGAAACTCGGGTCTCCAAAAGCAGTTGGACCCCACCAAGCCCCTGGGCGCCGGGCTCGGTGCCCAGCGCGCAGTAGGTCGTCACTAATCATTTCCGAACGCAGACAGCAGAGGACCTGGATCAAGGCAGAATCTGCCGCTGCATTTCCAGGGGCGCCGAACCCTGGTCCAAAGACCAACTCAAGAGGTCAGATTCCAGGTACAGAGCAAACCACTACCCCCCAACGGGGTACTTCCGAAATTACTTCTCTACTTTCAGAAGCTTAACTTAATTAGTTGATTGGCCTCATTAACTCGCACTTGAGTTTCAAACGAAAAAGAGGTCATGCAACTAACCAATTTGCTACCTTGACTCTCCACGCAGAACCCACTTTATTTTTGGATGGCCTCCGAGGACCCCTCCTCAGTACCGAGCCAACAGCTGCCAGCCCTCGAGGCCCTCCAGTACTTGGGCCTGAACCCCCACCTGCTGGGTCCAAGCGCCTTCTCAGATCCAGCCGCCCGGAGTCCCTTTAAAAGCGCCGCCGCGAAAACCCATGCATACCAGCACCAGCTTTTCCCCCTCTGGGCGCCCTCAGCCCCCCGGAAATGCTAACCTCGCCGCATGCCCGCAGGCCCAACCCCTCTCGCTCCCCCCGGGCCCGAGGGTCCTTGAGCAGACCCGCCTGGAGCCTGCGACGTCCACAGCCGCCCCCGCACCCTCCGAACCCGGGCGGCGAGGTACACCTCGGCCCCTGCACCCTCCAAACCCAGGCTGCGAGGTCCACCCAATCCCTCAAACCCTCCGAACCCCGGCACCGAGGGTCACCGAGTCCCTCAAACCCTCTGAACCCCGGCACTCCTAAATCCTGGCAGCGAAGCCTGCTGCGGTGGTCGCACCTGCTCGCTCGGTGGGGTGGCTCCAGCTCAGCTGGCGAACGCCCGCTCCACGTCCATCCGAGCGCTCCCTGCTCCTGGCGCCCAGCGCCCCAGCCGCCCGGGGGAGGCGCCTGGGCAGCGGGCTGAGCCGGCGGAGCTGCCCGGTCGCCGGGGAGGAGGGATGCCCGGGTGAAAGTTGCCAGGGAAACTTGAGCAACTCGAGCGCGCCGGTGCCAGCCTCCTGCATAATTCACTGGCCGTGGCGGCAGGGCTGCGCCCGCCGGGTCCCCCTACCCGAACTGATGACACGGCGGGCAGGGGTCGGGCACCCGGCCGGGGCTCCGCACAACCCCCGGAGATCCGGGCGCCCGACCCGCCACCTCCGGGCTCGCACCGGGTGCGTCGGCCCCGGCCTCCCAGACACAGCTGCCGCAGCCGCGCGCGCCTGGATGGGGGCGCTGGGTGCGGGGCCAGAGTGGCCGCAGCGGGGTCTCCGGGGACCTCACGACCGTCGCGGCGCGGGTCCCCGCCCCCGCGCGCCCCCTGGCGGCCCAGTGCTGGCTCTTCAGCCGGGCTCTCAGGCTGGAGTCCTGGGGCTGGAGGGCGGCGACTGAGCGCAAGCAGACCCCCGGCAGTGGAGGGGGTTGGTCCACTAGTACTGTCCAAGGGAAAAGGCAGAAGGGCTAAAGGTGACCAGGGTCTATGGGCACAGAGGACAGTGGGTGCTCCGCTCTCTGTGCTCACGCCGCTTCCAAATTTTTTTAAACCTGCCTCTGTCCAGGAAGAAAACCACTGGGGGAGGGGAGAGGTCGTCTACAGACACTCGTCGCCCACCCGGACCTGCAGATCCCTCTCCTCACCCCGCCCCGCCCCCATCGACTATGGATCCAGGACTGCGCTTACCTGGTAGTTGGCGCTCCTGGAATCCAATCGCACCCAAAATGCTGTCCAGGAGCAGGGTTGGGTGCCCAGGGGCCACCTACTGTCCTTCCCGACCCGCACCGGGTGTCCCAGCCGTCTCCGCCCCGCACCCGCAGCGCCTCGCGCCCCTGGCCGCCGCCTCACCTGGCTCTGGGGGCCGCTCGGCGAGTGGGGGGCGGGCCCGAGCCCCTGGGGAATGCCGCGTCCGCGTGCACCTGCCTGGGCCGCGGGAACACGAGCGGCGCGGTGTCCAGCCCTGCCAGGGCTCTCGAGCCGCCGCAGCAGCTCAGGTGTGGGGAGGGGGAGGGGCCGGCCCCGCCCCGCGCCGCTGTAGGGACTGGTGAGAGTGGGGGAGGGGTCCTCTCGCCGCGGAAGGGGCGCGCGCAGGCCACTCGCCAGCGATCTCTGTGCCCAGCCCTGGTGCGTAGCCCCCAGCCCACTCCGGCCTGCGGCTAGGACTCCCGCGCGGCATGTGGGGTCTGTTGTAGCAACCCCGAGAGACGGCCGGGCGCCCAGGGCCGCCTCCTCCCCGCCCCGCCTCACCCCGCCCCAGGCTGCGTGGCTCCCCCCACCACCCCCCCGCCCGGTGAAACCCCGCGGACTAGAAAGTCCTTTAATTTGGTAAAGCCCAGTTCATTCTGCACGATTATCTGGAACGCAGCTGGCTCCCACCCCAGAGTATTTTAATAGGATTCGGAAATGCAGTGACCAACTGCACATCAAAACGTTTGCAAAGCAAATGAAAACTTTGTACCTGGGGAACACACCGGCATCTGCTTCCCAGGCCTCCGGGGCGCCTTCCCCCTAGAGCAAAATTGTGTTGCGGCCAACTGCCCTCCAAGCCCAGATTGGGGGTAGTGTGGGGGGAATAAAAGCCAACTGCACAGATGAGCCCTAGAGGTGAACAGACACCCTCTGGAGACGCCCAGGAATCCTATTATTATCCAGGAATTGCTAGGTTTGGGGAAACCCAAAGGGGCTTGTCCCCAGCCTCTGGCCCGCAGCTGCCAGCTGTGGTTCCACATTGCCTCCTCCCCCATCTGATGTGTGAGCCCTGGGCTAGTCACTTTTCTCCAGACCCTGGAAACTCTCTGGTAATCCCAGCCTGCCTGAGCTGTGTGCCTCTGAGTAAACTACTGAAGCCTCCGTGTCCTGGGGTATTCCCATATTCTGGAAGGTGAGGCTGTTTCCTGCCAACAGGATCTGCAGGCCCAAAAGGCTGGGTGGAAGGAGGGGGCAGGGGCAAACACCACTGTCCAGGCCTTGATGTGGGACAACTGCTTCCAGACCCCTGGAGCCAGACATTAAGCAAACACCAACCTGTGCCCCACCATGAAGAATATATACACACACATACATAGGTATGTTTTTTAAGTCCATCTTATAGGACATGCCTGAGAGATCAGCATGGGCTGATGACTTCAACATACCAAAGGCAAAGTTAAATATTTGCTCTAGATACTTTTTTTTTTTCTGCTTGCATAATTGTCCCACATTTCAAAGAAATCTTTTAAAGCACTTAGGTTTAAAAAAAAAAAAAAAGTTGTGTTTGGGGCCTAAACATTTCAGGCCACACATGGAGTAAATATTGTAACTCCTTGAGAGCAGCTGCCATATGCAAACTTCTTTCTCTCCTCTGCTTCCTTGAGCATGAGACTTGGTAAAATATTTGCTGAAGGAATAAAGGAGATGATCAAATAATGATCCCTAAAACAAGAAGAGAGAAGCCCAGGCAGGACCTTGCAAGCAAAATTTCTTTGCCTTGGAAGCTGGGGGAGCAGGAAAGGAGAAGGCCGGCTGAACATTCCCGGTTTGCCACTGGCAGAGCCCAGATGTGAGTTGCAGAGAGTGGGGGAAGAGGCTCTACCTTCCGTTAACTTCCATCAGTACCCCTACCCCAGGATAGCCTGTCTCTAAGTTAATGTGGTATGTTGGCCCTGCAAACCCAGCTCAAAGACCCAGCCCCAAGATATTTTCCTTCTCTGGCCAGATTCCTGCCCCCAAATGCTCATTCCCAGATTTCTAGAACCATCACTGCAGATAGCAAAAGAGCCAGCTGGTTAGAATTCAGCTGTGAACACATTTCTGCTGTCCCCACGGGAGGTTGTGGTGCCAATTCCATTCTGCTATCTCCAAGAAATGGCTGTATTTCCCTCAGGACCCAGGCCTCCGCCAGCCTGTTCACCCAAGTGGACACCCCTTGGGCCACCCCCTCCAGTCCCTCTGATCTGTTTGTTGCCCAACAAGGGCGCTCTGTGAGAGCCCCAACATTTGGCATTTTAAGGACAGTGTCCTGCTTATGTCCCAGTTTCTTTGTGTCTGTTTGGAGCTATCCAGTTCAGCCTTGTACTCAGATTAAGCAGCACCCTGCAAGTTTTTAAAGACTTCTTATGATCCCAAGGAGAAGAAATTATGGAGGTTAGAGGTGATGGGCGTGTCATCCACTCTGATTTGATCATTACACATTGCATACATGTATCAGAATATACCCCACAAATACAGAGGGTGCCCAAAAGCTGTATACACATTTTTTGTTTGTTTGGAGACAGTGTTTCACTTGGTCACCTTCGGGAGAGTGCTGTAGCATCTTAGCTCACAGCAACCTCAAACTCTTGGGCTCAAGCAATCCCCCTGCCTCAGCCTCCTGAGTAGCTGGGACTACAGGCACCCACCACAACGCCCAGCTATTTTTTAAAGACTGAGTCTTGCTCTAGCTCAGTCTGGTCTCGAATTTGTAAGCTCAAGCAATCCACCTGCCTCAGCCTCCCAGAGTGCTGGGAGCCACCGCGCCACCACGCGCAGCCTATATGCACATTTTAAGAAAGAAAAAATCTGTATTAAATTGTAGTACTGAAATCACGTTTGATTTCTGCAATTACAAGAGATACAAGATATAATATACAGGATAACAAATGTGATTGATATATATGGAGTATTACAATTTAAACACAGTTTTTTCCTTTCTTAAAGTGTATATATAATTTTTGGTACCCTCTGTAAATATCGTTATTATACAGTAGAGCCTGCATGGTTGACTACCTCCCTACATTGACCACCTCCTTAAGTGGACCTAATTTTCATCAGTATGGTAGACCTAGTTCCTTAGGTTGACCACCTCCGTATGTTGAGCAGTTTGTTACAGTCTCTTGGGTGATCAACTTACAGAGGTTCTACTGAGTATCTTGGTTTATATTTAATAAATAAATATGACTTTATTAAATATACCTATTTAACATTTTTTTTTTATTAAAAATAAAAACCACAAGCACTCTTATGAAAATGTTCAGGATCAGAAAACTCTGCAGAGATAGCTTTATTCACACTTTAATGTCCCGAGAAGATATTTCAGGCTGAGGGTAGGCACCTTCTCCCTTGAGCCCCAAACCCTAAGTCACGCCTCCTTTGGGGCAGACTTGTTTCAGCTTTCTGCTTTGCTGAGTCCCTTGTTTCAGTTTCAGTTCAGAAAGAGGAGGCAGAATCTTTTGGCTTCTTGGATTCAGGACTCCCCTGCTTTTTGTTGCTGTAAGCTGCCTTCCTCACATTCTCCCTGGGTCCCCCAACATGTCTGATGACCAAAAGGAGAGAGCTAAGGAGCTTGCGGGAAGAGATGGCATTTCCATCTAACAGGCTTGTCATTTTTCTTGGAACCCCTGACACATGCATCCATCAGTCACCACATACACGGATGGCACCCTGCACCCTCCTGAACATGCTAGGAGTTTCCGGAAAGTGTGACTGACTGTCTGACAGAGAACTAGAAACTGGGACACTGTACCATTAGGGATGTGGGACATAACCACCTTTTCTGTCTTGGGGAAAGCATTATAAATATTTTGTAGCTTAGATTAACCCAGATGCTCATTTCACCGAGTGGCTGTCCCTATCTGTCTCCCACAGGAAAGCTCCTGAGTTTGGGGCTATGTGGTCAGAGGCCAGCACTTCTGCCCAAGTGGGAGCTGCCTAACCCAACCCCTTATCTTGCAAATGGGATGCTGAGGCCCAAGGAGGGGATGAGACTTTCTCAAAGACAGAAGGTGAGAGCCTCAGAAAGACAGGCATGCATGTACAGGTAGAGCCAGGTCTCCAAGGCCTGCAGAGGTGAATCCGGGTGGAGGCAGCATCCACAGGTGGAGCCAGGTGAAGGGGCATGCACAGGTGAAGCCGGGAAAGACAGGTGTGCACAGGTGAATCCAGG